ATTAAAAATCAATGCAGGCCAACTGGACTCTCCCCTTGTTATGCCTGTGATAGCAAACAACATAAACGGGCTATGAATAAAGAAATAAATAAATCTTTACTATAAACCATTTAGATGGATAAAGTCATTTGCAGCTAAAAAGTGTTGGAAAGGGAAAAAATGTAATATAATAATCTGGTGACAATGCATCACTTCATGCAGAAAAAAGTAAAAACTTCATAAACTATTGGGTCACAAGAAGTCAACTGAGGTTCCCGAGTCCTCCAACTCAAGCCAAAGCAGCAGATTTCTGACGCAGTCTAACAATGCTGAGAAAGGGAAAATAAAAAATGGCCTTATCACTCTTATCAATGGCTCTTTTTTTCAATGTGTATGCGTTATGTAAGGGGAAACGGAAGCCAGCCTCCTAGGACAGGAACGGATGCTTGAGATGAGAATTGTGGGTACAAGCCCTACACCAATACAGCACAAGACCTTTTAGGATGTACAGTTACAACCCTCTGACCCCCCGGTTTAAAATGGTCTCAGCAAACTGGACATGACAAACGGGTGAGGAGAGCCCCCTCGAGTCCCCTGAGACGCTGGTCTTCTCTTTAACATTCCACGCTCTCCACCCCCCCTGCTGTCAAAGGGGCAATTCACTGCCTTCCACTGCTACAAAACCCAGGCAGCCTTTTAAAACAGGATGTTTGTTTGAGGCCTCCTTCCCCTCAAATAAACAATCCGCAAAACCTGATTTCGGGAGGCAGAGTGGAAGCACTCGAGTCACATTATTTCCACATCCCGTATCCTGGAGCATTCGGGCTCCTGAGGGAGTGTGGGCGGCCAGGCGCTGGGAAGGCTCAGGGCTGCGGTAGAAACCTGAGGCCCTGTGCCAGGTTTCATGGGAGATGAGTTCGTTTTATATCACTCAGGGGTCTGTAGGATGAAGGAAGGGGGTTCAAGACTCGTGGAGGGAGTGGGTCTTGGCTAAAACCATACCTCAGTCTGAGAGTCGCACTGTTTAAGTCCTGCTACATGTAAGGACAACTGAATTATATTAGGCATTCACATAACATATTCATACTATTCAAATAAATGCACCAAGATAATATCACTCAAGAACACCATAAAACTCGTGAAAGACAAACAAATCTGAAAACAAGTGAGGTCATCCAGTAAAATAAGAAAATGGTCAAATATGGAAATGATTACGGTGATAAGACACTTAAATGTGCAATCTATTACAAATCTACAAATCAAACAGATGAAGTGTGGATACTGGTCATGCTTTTCTGCTAGACAGCAAGCTGTCAAAGTCAAATCAGCATTTATGGACCACGTCTAATCTGCTTTAATCAAGAAAAGCGTCACATGCCTTGATTAGACTCGTTAATTATTCCACGCATTTCCAGTCTCTGACACAGACGGAAGGAATGGTTTGATGCGTAGTGATTACCTCTTCCTGACACAGACAGCCAAGTCTGATTAGTATTGACTGCACAACTTAATTTATTTAGCGCCAGCGTGTAAATGTATGCATTTCGATTCATGCGACGACAGAGAGGACGAGAAATAGTTCTGAAGACGTTTAAACAACCGCATTAAAGATGCCGTGCACAGACCTCTACATTTATTTTTTCTTCACTTATCCGAGGCTTGCCTGTTTCAACACCGACTGGCTTGTTGTGCCTGGAGGAGTTAGTCAATACCTGAGTGGACCCACCACCACCAGCCAGACAGACAGACAGAAAAAGGCTGTACGATTCCTGTGTGAAGACTCGAACTACCTGCTGATGCCCTTTTCACTTAGGTAAGCAATTCATTCCTCTGCATTATTCATGCTTAGAAACTTGAAATCTTTCCGCTTCTCCTCTACAACTTGCCATCGTTCCCAAGAATAGGGAGATGGAAAAAAAGGACACCAAGGCACATCATTCTGCAGGTTCTGTGGTCACATGATCCCGACAAATCTGAATCACCAGGTTATTCTCTTTGCCGTTTTAACCATGAGATTCTGAATGATATGTCTGGACATTTCTCAACCTCAGCCTTTAATCTTTCCTCATTTATACATTCAAACTACAGAATAAAATAAAAGTTGCTATAGGATCCCGCACATCCAAGCAGGGAGCAAGTACACATTAAAAAGCATTTTATCAGTGACAAATATCGAAATAGCACTCCATCTGTGTGTTTTGCTCTTTATTATGCTGACAAATTCCACAGAGTTGACCAAAGAGACAACCAGTGTAAAACTGAACTTATGGGCTAAAGTAAGTGTAAAACAGAGGGATGTTCTGCTTTATTGCACATAAACTACACCTTATAAATTAGTAATTAATGGGTAATCATTTAGTTATTAATTCAGCTATAAACCCATGAAAACAGAAATAAGCAAGTTACATTAGACAAAAAGGACAATACTAACTTGTCTAACAGTGAGCCAACATGTTTTATAAAAAATATTTTTAAATCTTGATACAAGTAGCCTCATTTTGAAGTGGTGCCAGATAAATACAGGTAATCCTGATGTTCTCACACAAAGTGTCACTTCTACAACGACATACTGCTCAAAGCTTTACATAGGAACACAAACACATCTTGCTTTGCCTCTTAATTTTTTATCGCAACAGCTGGTCAGCAGTAGTGACAAACATAAAGAGCCCCTGATGTCGGAGACAATGTGACAGACATGAAGTTGATGTGAATAAACACCCCCTCAGACAGTCATTCAGGAAGCAATGAGCCCTGTTTCAAAGGGCTTCATTCTCATGCCGACACCACGAGGCCCCAGCTGTGAGGAAAGGGGGTGTGCAGGAGGGCAGCACCGGCACAGACCGCATTCCCTCACACACTGGAGCATATTATATCAGGGTACAGAGGTGAACGCAGGGTCCGCTTTTAACAGACAGCCTGGTGGTGCTAACGCTGTAATGCAGCTCTGTTTAAATAAGACATTGGGAATGGTCCAAGTATCCGTAACACCCCCACCCCTTCCACAGGAACGATATGAATATTATACAAGACATTAATAGCGTTCACATGAGGAAGCATTTCAACAACGCATGAATAAGAACGTTTTAGCTTGTTGAACGACTGCATGCAGATAAATATACACTTCATGACAGATTTCCATACCAAATCACACATTAACAAGGCAGTAAATGAGGATACTTTTTTAGTCAAATTCCACTGAAGACGTGCTGAAAAGTGGCAGAGCATGCTTATCCAGCTCACCAACCAGTTCTGGTGTGTTTCTCTGCCATTGTGTGATACAGAAGAATGCACACTGGGTATTTCTGTAGCCTCAGGCTGTAAACTGTAGTTAATTATTTGAATATACCCCACCTGGCTAATGCCCCCCAGACTTGCTTTCAGGAGGTTTACTTATTCCTAAATATAGGTGGAGTTTGGATCCTACACAACTCTGGTTACACACAGCAGGAAATGGATGGATAGAGGAAGCCTTCTACTATCTAAAGGGCAGCATCACGTTCAGAACACTGACAATCTTACAGATCTAAGTGTTTTAAGACCAACAGCTTGAAGATTCTGGATTAATTGCTCACAGGCATTTAGCTTCCAAATATTTCATCTATAGCTCTGTGTTTATTTTAAGGCCCTTAGTGTTGTAATAAAATGTGCTCTGAACTAGTACATTACAGATAAATGACGATGTTTTGTTTTGCCATACATCTTAAAGAGCGTCTGCACAGTCCAAGTCAAACATCCAAGACATAGTGGCGACAGAAATGAGATCACAGAAATTCACCCCGTGGAGCACTGGTCATTTTTTTTTCTTCCTCAAGGCCATGTTGCTGAGCTTGTCACGGCCTGGCTTGTACAAATAGCAATACAGTTGGAAGAAACCAAAGCCTAGAGCCTAGATCCTCCCTCACCAGAACCTCTGAGGAATTRCGGTGCGCGCTCTGACAAGCCCCTCATTTGTTGACTCAGGGAGTGTCGCCGGGCCATGCTAAGGTGGTGACAGACTGTGTGAGCTGCAGAGGACGAGGGGGGGGGGGGGCTTCTGCTGACTGAATACTTCTCAGCAAGGTAGCCGTGTCCACTTTTCAGTGCCCAGGCCCATGAGCCGTGGCAGACCCTCCAACAGGAAATGCTTGTCCCTGCATGCTCCTGCATAAGGGCTCTGAATGCCTCTCCACATGACACTGAGCATGCTGGCAGTGACCCTGTGAAGTGTGTGTGTGTGTGTTGGGGGGGGGGGGGGGGTTTGGAGGGGAAACATGCCAACCATACACCACGAGAAAGGAGCGTTTCACTTCAAATTCAGTGGAAGAGAGTGTTTCCACTCACCTCTTTTGGTGAGGCCACAACAGCAGTGATATTTCTGACCCCTCCCTGCAGCCCACTCGGAGTCAGGCTAGTTAAGAGTTGTGCACACGCAGATGTGGAAAACGATCCGTGTGTGCGCCTGTTTCTGAGCGATCTTGGTTCTTATTACAGTTTGATCCCACTCAACTATTTCTGAAAGGAAAACAGAAAGAGGGAGGCCAGCGGCCCGAGCCGCTGCACACGCCCCTTCAAACCTCTGCGCCGCTCACAATGAAAACATTTATCTTTAAACCTTAAAGTGCTCCTAATTGACTCAAAGGAACAAAACTACACCGCATCTGTGAGAAAATGGCCCGTTGCTCAAGTGCACTCATCCACTTCTCCTGATTTGCTTAATTTAACGATTTTAAAGCAACAAAAGCAGGATTCTACATGCAGATTTATTTTAGGGATAAGGACATAAAACAAGCTGATGCATCTGAAACTTGGTACATGAACGTGTTTATTTCAATAAACCAGCCGTGATCCTCTAATATCATGTGATTCTTTCAAATTTTCATTGATGTTCTTCTTGATGTTCTTGTTTGACAAATGACTGATGTTTACAGGGCGGCTCCTCGGGGTTGATAGCCTTCCAGTAATCATTAATCACTACCGTCAGTTCAAAAACATTTTGGGAAACCTCATTTAGAGGCCAGCAGCAGTTGTAAAAACACACCCACCTGAGAACTCTCCCGGTGTGATGTTCGGTGAGCCAGCCGCCTCGCTTTCAGTGTACGACAAAGTGGAGTCCGATAGATCTGTTGGAAACAGAACAGAAAATAAGCTCCTTGTTGCCCTAAAAGAGATTTTTTAAAGCATTTTTACGGATGATCACAATAACCTTCAATGGTAACACCTATGCACCATTTATTTCTTTACAGTTGACTTTCTTTTTGCTGTTGTTCAGTTAAAACAATAAGCCCCACCAAAAGGCTTCATCACACTGATAATAACCTTGGAACCTCATCGACAGACTTAGGTGTTGACAGAAACTCCAACTGTACTCAGGTTCAAAGCTAAAACATTCAGTCATGCTCTTTTGTTTTTGCCCTTGTAGTTTTCTGCTACATATTGTTGCAACCAAAATCATTCAAACTCTCTAATCTGCAACAGATTATAGCATATAAATTAAGGCCTTCATAAAAATAGTCAAGCACTGTTTATTGTAGCTTATGTCTTTTTTTATTATGGCTTTTAGGCACCAATTCAGCTTAGTTCCAAAGATTCTAATTATGTTTTAGAACACATAACCTACTGTCTATCATAGTAGGGATAGTCAGATAATTCAGAATATTTCAAGTTTAGCTAAAATGTAAGAATACGACAGATTGATGCAACTTGACCAGCATTTAGTAGAGACATGCAAAGTTATTTCCAAATGGTGCTTCACTAGTCTGTGTGCTTTTTTTAAACACACACCTACTACCCACCCCCTCCCAAAAGGACATCCCAGCATCCTTCAGCCAATGTGATTTACCGTATTTTGAAAGGATTATAACGTGGAAACAATGGTCATGGGTGAGCTGGCAGCTTTATTGCCAGAATACATGCATCCCCTTCCACAATGATCCATCGGGTCAGTCGAAATAAAGGGATATAAAGATCCCTAGCTAGCAGAATAAGCAGCTGCAAACGTCTCTGTACCCAAAGCCTCAATAATAATAGCCTCAAATTAGACAGGATTTTAGCTGCAAGACATGGGGTGAGGAAATTTTAATTCACTGCAACTCTCAAGAGTGTGCATAATTTTATGTTTAATCGGCAGCTGAGATTAGCCGTCGTTAATACTGCTTTGTCTGCTCTTAAACGGTTGTTGTGTTGACACTTGTGTTAATTTGTCCTGCATGCATAAAGGACCAAAAAGTTTGTCTTGTAAGAAGTATACATTACTGAATGCTGGTCTTAGGTTTGAAACAGTGACTCATAGAAAGGGTTAGGAATATTCAGAAAAAAAATACTGGACAAAAAGGGTTTTTGTTTAAAATGCCTACTCCTATATCCTAGTGACATATTAAATATAGTTTCATAGCCTCACAAGCTCCAGACTACTTCTGTTGAGAAGCTCCCACCCTGCTAATACCTGGTTTCTGACATCAATTTCTTAAAATCCAAGCTTCAAGTGAAAGACTGAGATGGCCTCTTAATGTTTCAACAGTATAAAATCCAGCTTTGGTTGATATAAACACACTTTTGGGACCATTTTCTACCTCAAAAGTATAGTGATTACCAAGCTTCAGTTTATGCACTGCATGTACTTAAACTGCCCCCACAATGGGATGGACCCACCTCTGCGTTTGACTGTAGCTGATGGTGATTTTCTTGTTAGGTAGGCGTTGTTCTTTTTACACCAGACCAGCTTCATGGGTCTAAACAGTTCCAGTTTAGTCTCAACACTCCCCTCAAAAACAACTCTTAGATTCTTAGGAGGGTGTTTCAATATCTTTTCTTACTCATTCACGTCAATTTGAATGTTCTGGTTTTAGTCTGGACTGCAGGGTGGAAAGGTTTATGACCACCAAAGTCCTTTTACTTTGTCTTCCTCCTAACAGCAAGACAAAAACTACAGATTATTGTTATGTTTGCGTCATTTTTTTATTGTTCATCAAATATTTCTCCGATGAAAACTTTTTGGTAACAGACATGTTGACTCACCTTTCACGTCGAAAGCTGCCAGAAAAATTCACCAATCACAGTGCCTGATTATGCTCAGTATAACCTGCAGCATTACTATATGTAGTGCTGTACCAAACGATTATTTTCTAATCGATTAATCTAATGATTATTTTTTCGATTAATCGATTATTCTAACAACAAATCTATCTAATCCAACAAAGTTATTCTGATGTGAGTGCACTGGAAATTTAAAATGTTTTCATCAAATTAACAAGAACAGTTCTTTAATATTGTAATATTTTCTTTAATAGTTTTTTCATGAACACAAAATATGCACTCTGGAGTCAATTCTTTAACAAAAAAGCTTAAAAGATTTAACATCAATATAAAATTTCAACCAAAGCATATAAAATTCAACTAAAATAAATATAGTGCAAGATGTTAACAATCTAACAAATGAACTAAATCATGCAAAATTCAAGTCACTCTGGAAAAACTATAATAAACATTTATTTATTATTTTTTTTATTTAACATATTTCTCAATATATAAAAATTAACAAATATCAAGACAACATCTAACTCTTTGTATTGTAACATCAGTTGTGTAACTTATTTCTTTAATGTGAAAACTGTTGAAAACAACAAGACTGTTTTGTCTTATTGTACAAATAAAAATCCAGCTCCACGTGTTTCTATTGATGTCATTTCCCCACTAGAAAAATGTGTGATGGAGGTCCATGGAAGGCAAATAAGTTTAAATCAAATAAACAAAAGAGGATGCAGTTAAAATTAATAAAAGGTATTTAAGCTACGTTTTGAACATCCARAACACRTCCAACACTTGTTGGCTGCTTGTGCTCTTTAGGTCTGACGTGTGTCGGGAAGCTCCTCTGTTGTTTGAGACGCTGGGGAAACCGTCAGATGGGGGAACGTGGCTCGACCTAACACCGGTCTCTGTTTAATGGTGGATGAAATAAAGAAAGTGGTGGTACTTTATTTACTTTGAGCAAGCGAACGTCATGTTCACAAGATAATTAATCCACCAGATAATTCAGAGGCGGTCTGTTCGGTAAATTTTACTCCAGGAGTTGCGAGGCTTGTTTTCAAGCTTCAGACTGAACTGAAGCAGCGGCTGCTGACGTCATTACGCTCTTGCGCGATGCTGCATTCAGGACAAGCATGGAAAACTCACCACTCTTATGCCAATACGGTCGCAATGATGCATTTAGGTACCGAAATGGAATTGCACGAACATTCACGTGGTGGTTATGTAATACAGTGAATCAATAATAAAAAATCTGTGTCGACAAATTTATATAATCGACATCATCGATTATTTCAACTAATCGGTGCAGCCGTACTTGTGACGTCCACAGCCTACCCCAGTTACCACTACTGTGCATGTGTGTCAAGGACAGACAGGCAGATGTGGCAGTGGAAGGTGTCAAAGCAGTTTGGAGAGAAAAACAAAGTAAAGAACAAAAAAAAAAAAAATAATAATTAATCGATTATTAAATTAGTCATTGATTATTTTAATAATCGATTAGTTGTCGATTAATCGATTAATCGTAGCAGCCCTAACTATATGCGAATGATGATTTTTATTTAACAGAAATTGATCCCACCTATGAGGAATACATATTAATTCAACTAAGCTCAAGCCCTAATTGAGGACCACAACAGATTTTAGGGGCTGCAGAAATAGTTTGTATTTTAGTCTCTTACCCAGTGGCTTGTGTTCTTCATTTGGGGAAAGCCTTGAATATGGAGGTGGAGGTGACTCTGTAAAACAAAATAATAATGTAAATGATCAAACAAATGGGAGGAGAAAAGTTAAATCTGAAGACCTACTATAAACACGGCCTACAATTTATTTTTTTGCAAAGAAGCTACTGTGTAAAAAAAGTTTAAATAAGCCATTTTAGGATGGAGAAAATCTCACCCTGAAGCAGAATCAAAGAAATCTGCTTTTATTGATGTATAGTTGCTAGGGGTGCAACGATACAGGAAATTCACGGTTTGGTTCAGTTCGATACATTAGTCTCACGGTTCCATACTTTTTTCGATACAAAAAAGAGAAATTTCCATGCCCCCTTTAACTTGTAATTTATTTATATTAATTATGAACATTTGTTTAACCTCAAAAGTGCAGTTTTTAAATGAAATATTGCTGAAACAGCAAGTTTCTCAGTGGACCTGCACTCAAAAATGCAGCCTAGGTGGAGTAGTCGAACACAGATCCACTGATCCTTCAACACAGAGCATCTTCAGAAGACAAGTTGATAAAGTAAATTTTTAAAATCTGTGTTGTTCGATACAGCACTGTTCGATACGGTTCGATACGGGTACATGTAATGTTGCACCCCTAATAGTTGCATAGCAAAAATTATTTTTGTTCTGGAAAAGTGGGTGAATTGCAGTCGTGTTTCACCTCCATTGCTCCATTTGGAAGAAGCTGGCTGAGGTTGTTAAAGAAATACAACCATCTTTATAAAAGACATGATGCCACCTGTCAATAAAGCCAATAGGTTTGTCAGCAACAGACCAATCAGCGATCGAAATTGAAAGTAGTGGCACCCCTCGTAGCTGCTGCTCGGCTTTTCCCTCTGACAAACTTGTTACGGTTTCCAAGTCTGTATGCTTAAAGCAATTTTGTGGTGAATTTTTTGAAACATCTGCTAAAAAATAGTTAAACATTAATAGGGAACGTGCAATTTCGACATCCATTCTTCTGAGACGGCGACTAGCACATGTTCCTGTATATGAAGGTAAGCATCAGAAAATCTACCATTGATTTATTGTATTGATTTTATATGTTATATTAATATTAACTTGGTTAAATGAAGGGTTAATACTTGAAGCTATGATTGGTTTCATGTGTAGACAATAAGTTGTGGTTTTCAAAAACTGGATGCTCAAAACTCGGCTCGCTGATTGCTCAGTTGTAAACGAATTCAGTGTCGGAAAATTAGCTTTTTTCTCTCAAAATTGAGAGGCTAAATATTCTCCAACAGTTATAGCCTACCAAGATACTACCTTATCAGACACTTTTGTTTTGCTAGTGTTTTAAAAGTGATGGTTCAGATTAGAGGTCGACCAACATGACTTTTTCTGTGATTGATGCTGATACTAATTTTTGGAAATCAGAGCAACCAATATCCAAATTACACCAATTTTAATAAAAACTTTCAGTCAGTCAATAGAGTCTATCGTTGAACAAAATACTGCAAAATATTTACTTAAATAAACACAATACCCTTACATGGACTTGTACATTTAAAAACAATATACAGAAGACAGAGAAAAAATGTTGATTATACAGTAAGATTTTTCTAGCTGCTACTGCATGTTTATTTTCCTGCTTGATTATTAATTGAGTATGTACAGGCATGGCTGATTGATTTTTTTAATGTCACTATTATTAACAGAATAAAATAGGTCAACCTATTAATTGGTTTATCTGCACCAGAAGTGCAAAAGCTAGCTAATGCTCCTGCTATGTGTGCTAGTAATGAACCTCATATTTAAAAAAATAAAATAAGTAGATGACATGAAACAGATAATTATGGAAATGTTTAAAGAGTGTGAACCACTTGAGACAGAAGTTGTTTAAGATGTCGGAATTATCTCCTTGTCCAGACAGAATAAACTCTCATTTTCTGAACTGAGAGCTATCTACAAACAGGTAAGACATTAATTGTTCAGAAGTTTTCCACTCAAAACATCTGAACTGTTTAGGGTGTCTCGGACACAAAATTTTACAGACGTAAGTCCAGATAATTCAAAAGTGTGTACTTTCACAGAATTACAGACGTGCATATTAGCTACTAAATCATATTCTGTTTGAAGTTATGATCAAAGTCTTTCGTGAAAGCAAACAGAAAAAAGGACACTCACACTCAAATTAATTAAAGCCACAACAGGCGCTTGAAAACACAAAACAACAGATCGACGTTGGAGTATCAAACAACATCTTTAAGCTAAGTTTTGCGTCTCTGCTGCAACGTCTAATAAATTAGTTCACAAGCTAGTGTAAAAGCTAATGAAATCAACAGAAAACATTTACTGCTGCAGTTTAAACACATTTTTTTAATCGAAGCAGTTAACTGTGACCACAGTCTGGCCAGAACTTTTAGTTAGCAGTTTAATAAATACGAGTAAATTTCTGCTCTGCATCATCAGCGGTCCAGTCAGAGTTTGACTGTATCTAATAAAACTGTGCTGAAGAGTGCACAAGAAAAGGGGGAGGAGAGCACAAAGGAAAGAAAACTTTTGCGAGCACGCTGTGACCTCGCCAACAGGGAAAATGGGAAGGAGAGCATTGTAACARCAGCGGGTCCTTTAAGAGTGGCGGCAGTAATTGCCAGGATCTGAACTCGGTCACTCAGATACACAGTGAGTCAGTCTGGCGCCAGCAGTATGCAAACTGTATATTATCACCACTCCTTCACCTAAATAGCATGAGGGGACCTCCTCAGGACAAAAGAGCTTTTAAAATGCAACTCGAAACTGATCTTGTTTGGAAAGTAGAATGCCGGGCAAAAAAAAAAAAAGAAAGAGAAGGGGAAAAAAAGTTTTTGTCCACTTCAAGTTAAGCTCTCTGCCTGATGCTACGCTGAATCGTTAAAACTTAGAGGTGACATAAAAACAGAAACGGCGCTTTACTTTCACATCATTACCGTCCGCTGGCACTAAGGGTGGGAGATGAATGTAGCTGAAGGTGGGTATCTGTTAGTAAAATATTTCATAAACAGCTGAAAGGATTTAAATGAAACTCGCTGAATGTAATCATTGGATCAAGAATCAAGATGGCCACCACAGCTAATCAGCCTTAAAAAAAACAAAAAAAAAAAACAACAAAAGAGTAAACGGCTGTAAAGGGGTCATTTTTACAGATATTCAGCAAAAATCTGGTGTAGTAGTAGCAGAGAGTCAACCCTAACATATCCTCAGAGTGCTAAGATCTTTGTTTAAAACTTTACTGTTGAAAAATACTGCAAAAATTAGCCATTAATCAGTGTTGTTTAAAGTACCTCAAAGTGATATTTGAGTAAAAGTACAAGTATTTTATCATAAAAATACTTTGGTAAAAGTTAAAGTCTTCTCTAAAAATATTACTTGAGTAAAAGTCTTAAAGTATCTGATATTTTTTGTACTTAAGTATCAAAAGTAAATTTCTGACACAAAATCTACTTAAGTATTAAAAGTAAAAGTACTGAGTAAAAGTGAGCAGTTATTTTCCAAAATGGCATGTATTGGGAGGTTACTTCTCCAAAAAATATTTTTTCTAATGGCATGCAGCTGTGATGGGTTGTGTACAAGCTAATAGGATGTCAGAATGATATATATTTATACTTCTCATCTAACCACAATTAAATTCACTCTATCCAGGAGACACAATTTATCAGGATAGTATTTTTTATAACTCAGAATAAAATAGGATTTACGACTTTCTACTTCTTACCTTTTTTAAAAAAATGTAGTGAGTAGAAAGTACAGATAATTGTGTAAAAATGTAATGAGTAAAAGTAAAAAGTACGCTGAAAAATAATTACTCAAGTAAAGTACAGATAACCAAAATTTCTACTTAAGTACAGTAACAAAGTATTTGTACTTAGTTACTTTACAACTCTGCCATTAATAAACACCAGATTATAGTCTGAATCTTCTCAAATTAAGAGAAATAATCTGCCGGTGCAGTAAAACAATTGTACTTGGTAAAACTTTTTGAAATAAAAAAAAAAAATCCAGGCTAATAAGCCAACACATTTGGCTCTTGCTTAGTATATCAAACTCATAGAAAGATCAAATTTCTTTTTGGCTGGGTATAAGATTGTAAGACTTAGATGGACAATTTTGGCAGTGCACCTTATCAGTCTGTTAGTAAAATATCTCATGATACACTAAATAGATTTTAAATAAACTCTCAGAATGGAATCACTGGATGTACATCTTCAACTGATCAACTTTTGGAGTCAAACAGGTTCAAGATGGCCAGCAGAGCTAACAGACCTTAGCAAACATAAAAGTGGCTTGGAGTTTGTTAATTGAGCTAAGATTCAGTGTGGCAGTGGCTGAAAATCCTCCTCAACACATACTTGATTTGTTAACAGACTGCATGCAAACTTTGTTTAAAACATTGGCGTGCAGTGCAGCAAACAAAATGCTTTCCTTCAAGAAATGTCCGTTTTTGATATAAACGGGCATTTCTCTGCAGTTTAAACTATTTGAGGCATGTATGAAAACTACTAATAAATCCTATCCTGTTTAATGAACTGGGCATCGTTCACAGGACTTCCATTTTTTCTACATTCTCATTTACAAACAGTGTCGACAGCAGTGATTAAGATCCTGATTCAAAGCCTCTCTTCTTGAATAGAGTGAAAGAAATACCAGCTCTATCGAGCCACGCATGAGCGCATGTGAGCTATGTCTACTACGAGCCTTAGTCCCAATGTGGGGTTTATGCCTATCTCYGCTCGCAACCCATCCTGGTGGGTTTTTAGTGGGGAGCAAACTCACACAGCCTAGCCTCACATCCATAGAACTAACTGGAACAATTGCATAAATCACATTTATTTATCTCAAACATCCTAATTTATCGTCAAACTTTATATATTTTTATGAGTTAGACCGTACGCTAGGATAGGAAGGCCAAAACCGCATTAAGTTTCCCCACGTTTTTCTAATACTGCTGGACTTTCTCAAGTGCGTGTCACCACGAGCTGGCTCCAAGAAACGTGGATGTTATGGAAAATCCTACCCCTCCCACCTCCTCCCCGTGCTAGTGAAGTGACAGAAATACTGACGCTTGCATCTTCACACACGACACCAGGCCTCGTCATGGGGTCAGTGGGGTTGAGTGGCCGAAGCATTTGAGGTTTTCCGAATGACGAGCCAACCCCTGCCAAAATTTAATCTGTTTAATAAAGGTCAGGGAGGCTGTGCCTTACAGAGCTCGCAACACACACACACACACACGCACGCACGCACGGCACGCACACACACACACACACACGATAACTGACCCGTGGCAGCAAGTTCAAATCTTCAAATGAGTCTAAACGTTCACACACATGCCTTATATACTGTCAGCAATAACTCAAAACAGCTGTACTGACAATCTCGCTGAACACAAAACTACAGTGCTGTAGGGACGGCAGATCTGACACTTTATCTAATGAAAGGACCTGAGGCTGAAGGCCAGCATGAGTGATGCTCTGAACGGACATAAAAAGGTTCACTTATAACTTTGTAGGCCTTTAAAACGATCAAACTAKTAAACACGTCATGCTATTGCAGGAAATTTACATTTACTCACAAAAAAACTTATTAAGATGTCATCAGAGTTATTAATGTTTGGACGTGGCTTCTTATTCTTAAAGACCAGTTAAACAAAAAATGACAGTAACTCTTTAATCACAATTACAATAGCTTATTAACAATGACATATTACAATCTCGAGAATTATTATGTGAGATTGTGAAATGTTTCAACAATCAAAGAATGTGTTGAAGTTGACTCTCAGCTACTAATTTCGGCTCAATATCTAGAAAACTGACTGAGTTGTAGCAATTTCTGTGTTGGCTAATGTTGCGGTGGTCATACTGAATTGGGTTGAATCTGAATTCAGTTACATCTAATGATTGCTTTCTGAGGGTTTCACCAAAATCTGCCCAGTGATTCATGAGATAATTTGCTAACAGAGTTGACAGCCTAAAGTTTGGACCAACAACACTGGACAATATGTAGTGTTCAAAGTTGATGCTTTGCTACCAGATCAAAATGTAACTCAATATTTGCAAAACTGACCAGTTTTTAGCCAGTCTTGGGTTTCCAAAAGTAGTTGACTGTGACCGTCTTGAATGGGGCTAATTTGACATTTTAATCCAATATAAATGTACATCCAATGATTTCATCCAGTAGTTCATGAGATACATTGCTAACAGACACATTTGACTCTATTGGCAAGGCTGCAAGTAATTTCTTTTGGGAATCAGTTAGTGCTATAGAGCATGAGTTGAGAATGACTCTCAGCTATCAGGTCAAGTTTTAGCTCATTACCTGTAAAACTGGCTGAAGTAAAGTCATTTCAATGTTTGATAAGGTTGGTTAGCTGTGACTCCATAAATTATTCTGTTGTAGAAGTATTTCCATTTTTTTATTTTTATTTTTACTTCCAGTGGTTCATTAAAATCATTCCACTGGTTCATGAGATATTTTGCTAACAGACTTGTTTTGAGATAATAAGCCAAAGAAATATGTAAAAGGAAAAGACTTTGGMGCTTAAAGTTGTGTTATAGAGTGGGTGATGTAGAAGACAGGTAAGTGTGAGCTGGCCCTCACCTGGCCCACAGAGCCGGCTGTAGTGATAGGGGTTGCAGCACACAGTCGGGCTGTCCGGGGCCCCGAAGCTCCTGCACTCACAGAGCGGTTTGAGCTGGGCCGGGTGCTGCAGGTCGGACCAGCGGTACACCTTGCACACCAGCAGCTGCGGGCTCGCCACATGTCCGCCCAGGACCACCTCCGTCCTGGACACCATCACACAGTCGCTCGGCATCCCCCCTCTGGACTCCACCGCCTCCAGTAAAGTATCCAGCGCCCTCTCCTTCAGCCTCTTCAGCAGGCAGTAAGTGGCTGATTTCAGCTCCTGCTCCAGCACGGCGCGCGGCATCATCGCGTCCTGCGCCTCCGGAGAGCCGCCGTCTCCTCCTCCTCCTCCTCCTCCTGGTCCGAAGAGGCTCCTCGGCGTGAATGGATCCCTGGTAGTACCCTGAGCTGTGTGCGGACCCCTGAGCTCGGAGTGGTGGTCCCGGTCTTTAAATAAGCAGCACGTCACTGTCCTGCACTCGCTGTCTTGGATGGATCCGGGGCTTCCTCCTCCTCCTTGGTGCTCCTGAACGCGCGTCGCAGCAGCCGCATCTTGGTCCGGTGCGACCCCCGCAGAGGAGCCGCCGCTCTCCACCGCTCTCCCCGCCAAGTCCCCTAGGAAAAACGCCCCGCTGGGGGTCATCGGTCTGAGCTCGGTTTGGGGGATCTTCTCTGGGTCGTCGCGGAGCGGGTCGTCCCTACAGCCCTCACTAGTTTTGCCATCTTCCCCTTCGATTTCTGGGATCAGTCGGCTTCTCCAGAGTCGCCGCACAAGACCTGAGCGTTTCGTCCTGAACATACGACGACTTGAATACCTATAGGGCTCTTATTATTACTATTAATCACGGCAATCTTTTCTACTACAGGTTCTTCTGTTGCAAAACATTAACGGCTGTGAGACGCCGTGCAGCGCGTGCACAGCCGAGCCGGAGAGCAGAGGTGGCAGAGCAGCAGCATCAGACTGAAGGCTGTGCTGTTGCATTTAGAGGCAGAAAAGCACGCGATCAGAAGTGCGCTGCAGCATTCCCCTTCGATGCATTTATCCGATTATTGCTGCGAAGAAACCCGGGGTCGCTGCGGATCACTGGACTGGTTCCGAACCAATAAAACCAACAGAACGTGCTCAGGAACATAATCCAAGTCTCAGCCTGAAACTACTTCAGCTTCTACTTTCTGTCTGCACCGGCACCAGGTAGGATACTTCTGTCAATGCGATTAAATCCCAATAATAGCAATAATAAAATAGAATGCACCGGATTAGGTCCTTCCCGTCTTTGGCACTTTTCTTTCTTTTAAAATCCCAACAACAACAACAAAAAAGGAAAACAATCCAGGCAGATTAAAAATTACAACCAAGAATTTCGAGCGCTCCGGAGGCTGAGGGAGGAACTCTCCTGCCTCAGATCTAAAACCAAACTGCAGCCCTGATCCCTTTTCTTTCTCTAGTTCTCTCTCTCTCTCTCTCTCTCACCCGCCCCCCTTCTCTCCTCAAACACACACGCACACACACACGCGCGCGCACACACACACACACACACACACACGGGGCCCCCGAGGAGAGCGATGGAGCCATTGGCTGACTACCATCATGTGCTAGTCTAGACACTTTGGCGGCTGAGCTGCACTGATTGTTGCGCAAACAAGGTTTCAAGTTTCTTAACTCTTAAAGGCGAAACACTCACCTCTCGGTTTTTTTAAGGCAAACTTACTGAAACTCACTTTAACATCCTCCGTCTGTTGTTTGGAGGAAAAGAAGAAAACAAAAGAGGAACTATGACGTAGAGAGCAATGAATATTTCAGTATTATTTTTATTATTAATATTGCTTATTTACACTGAGCTTTCAATTGTTTTTGTTTTTATTTCTTTGCACAGTTGAAAGGAGCTTTTAAAGGACATTTTGCACCGTTTATGCAATACAGTGAGATGTCAAGCTCAGAATATGAGTTGTGGATGACTCACAGATACTACCACACAGAGTTTTAGCTCAGTGGGCCTCATGCAAGAACATGTTCGTATTCTTCTCCTAAATTTCTCTTACTTTTGTTCGTACAAAAGGTTCGTACGAACATGTCACGTCAGATTCAACAAACTCTTCTATCTTCTGGAAACATGCGTAAATGAGCTGCGTAAATTCCACCTGTTCTATCCAGCTGCTCGTGCACGTGAGAGGAGATTAGCATAATTACCWCCCCAAAAACACCATATAAGGCTATGATTCCTACCTCAGATACAAGGAAGTGTTCATTCATGAAAAATTACAGCGAAAACTAAAAAGAACTTTAAGTTCAGAGATTGAAGTCCGTCTGTCAGAGATCCAGAAAAGAAAATCTGTCATTTTTAGCAGGTCAGCTGTGGAATAAAAAGAGCTGCTAAAAGTATAAACAACTGTGTTAAATCATTTTCATTTAGCCTATTCAGAAGCCGCAGCGCTGCGCACCGTGCGCCCGTCAGACTTAAAATACATCGGGACATTTCACACGTCTTTCCCCAAATTTCAACAGCTAAGTTGCTAAATAGCTAAACATTTAAAAACAAATACTTTGGTCTGTGCTGAATTTCAAAACTATGCCGACTTGGTAAAAAYAAAACCCCAAAATTGCTGTCTTCATCTTGTTGTTTAGTTTGCTGACAGCACAATGACTCCTGGGATATCCTCGACAGGGAAGGATACACAGATTTTCGGGGTTATGTCGGCCAAGTGAGAAGAAGCCAACAAATTGGGACAGCCTTCCGTGCGGGGCAGTGACATAAGCAGACAAATGTAGACTTGGAAGGAAGCAGCCCCTGAATTGAGACACAACCTTTACTAACACAAAAAAATAGGATTGGCTATGAGGTAATGCTGAAGTTTTAAGTTTAAATTTTGCACAATGAGCCCAAATTTGAACACAACACAAATAAAACTGTGCAAATTAATATTATTTTTGTGTTTTCTGAAACTGTGGCGACCATCTTGATATGAGACGACTCCAAAATGAACCAGCAGTGATTACATCCTGAAAGTTTTATTAAAACTGCTCCCAGTGGTTCAGGAGATATTTAGGTAGCATTAAAGTTACAGGAACACTTGACATAGCTGACTTAGTCCTCATGGGCGATAATAACAGAGATATGTAAAATGTATTTTGTAAAACTTTTGATGGTGGCAACTTTTATATCACAATAACCTGAAAATTAGTTTTTCCAAAGTTTCACTGAAAATACATTGTCAGATGTTGATTGTGTAATTATTACTCCAGTTATTTATAACTGAGTGATGGGAAATAATTTAGTATTTTAACCTTCRTGTAAAACAAACAAAAGTCTTTGAACAATAGCTCTGAACTATTGTTTTAAAGTATTTTAGGTTAAGGGCTTAAAATGTGTTTGCTTTTAGAAAATCATTGCAGGTTCATATATCTGTGTTGTTTCAAGTAAAAACTTGTTCAGTTTTGAATCATTAAACAGTAATTTATTTGTTTACATCTGTTTATTACAAATAGATGTGTTGTTTTTCAGCTGCAGTTTTCCAGACATGAGACTGACTATATTAGTGACCTTAAAAATGAAATTTGTAATTTCTAGCACACGGCAGTCATGGATTTTAAAGTTAAAGTATACGTATATATTGTTACAATAAAGACATCTTTTAAGGTCTAAAAAACAGGAAGTATTAKCATAAACAAGGACATAACTTTAAGTCTATCATTGGTGGGGTTATGCTCTAAAATCCTGCATGTCCTTTTAGCAATTGTGCTTAAACGTACATATCACACATCATAAATTTTTAAATCAGATTTAAGTTGCCTAAAGACAACAAAAGAGTTGCATCTGTCTACTAAACCAGTTACTGTAATTTCTACTGTGTTTGAGCAAATGATTTAATTCCATTGGGGGGTTATTTTGACTTGATCAAATTATTGTGGGGGGTCATAACCCCCCTAACCCCCTGCAAATTATGCCTATGAGCATAAAAAACACAAAATACAAYATTTTGAAAGAAATGAAATGAAACAAACACCAGATGACGCTACATTTAAACACCTACAATTTTTACTTTATTTATTATCAAACATTTAAAACACATCATTAAATGTTGTTTTGATGGATGAATGGATGGATGGATGGATGGATGGATGGATGGATGGATGGATGCATGGATGGATGGA